TAGGTGTGCAGCTTCACCCCACTCAGAATAGTTATCACTAAAATGTCAGAAAACAACGGGTGCTGGTGGGGCTGTGGGGAAAAGAGAACATTTATACACTGTTGATAGGAATATAAATTAGTCCTGCCACTTTGGAAAGCAGACTGGAGATTTCTCAAAGAACTTAAGTCAAGAGATATCATTTTACACAGAGATTTCACTACTGGGTATACATTAAAAAGTAAGTAAATAATTATTGGTGGAAACATTTGTCAGAAACCCTCAAACTATCCATTGAAAATCTATGCATTTTATCCTAATTTTATCTAATAAAAATAGAAAATAGACAATTGTATGGAAATATTTTATATTGAAATTAAAATATCGACAAAATGTGTATGAAAATTCAAATACAAAACGTAAATGTCATTACTACAATAATTATTAAAATACATTCAGCTATGCTAGAATAAAGTCCCAGAAATAAGAAAGATAAAGGTGACGTATTAAAATGAAAAATTAATAAACCCAAATTTCACAGATAATTTAAACATGGCTAAAAATATGTGCAATATTTTATATTATTAGTCATACAAACTTAGTAAAATATTTGTATAGTATTTTAACCTGTTTTATCAGGATAATTTCCTAATTGTTGTGTAAAATCATAAGTGGGGACAGACCACATAAAAATAATGATATTTGCAGGAACATGTATTGATTATTAATATATTCTCAATGTTGGCCCAGCTATTACACCTGAAATTTGTAATTATATCATGAATTTGTTTGGAAAAATTAATTTTAAAGGATGACTTAGGGGAATAGTCTTCAATATGGAGATATTAGTATCTCACCTATAAAGAAATGGAAAATACATAATACATGTAAAATCCTGATAGAAACTGTGTCTCACGGAAAGAGTTTATCCTGTTTGAATGTAATACATTTACTGCTAAAATGATCACATTCATGATGTTTTGGAAAATTAAAGCAAAGCGTGGTGAATTGAAGTGTGATGTTGCCTGTTTGGTACAACAGTGGGGTGAGGATAATGAAGAGCCCTGGGGTCCCGAGGAGATGGCCTGATCCAAGGACAGGGAGGCTCCAGGTCCTGTGGACTCACCGGGGCGCCTGCTTCTGCCCGGTCCGCAGCCACTCCCAGAAGCCTCCAGGAGACAGGGGTGCGGCTGGGCCCTCGAGACGATCCATTAATGAGACGTGGAAGTGAAGAAAAAGATAATGATCTGAAATAAATTTTAAAAATTAAAATAAAAAATTTTTATTTTAAATTCACAAATTATGACTGTTTATA